AAACGTTATTTAAGTACGGACTTTCAATACTATAATGACATGTTTATTATTTAAAGGCGTGACTTTGACTACTTGACGAGACTTACTGTGCTGCGTACGTTTAGTTGTATAGATTATTTCTGTACTGTGAAATGTGTGTCATTCACGATCTGCTTGTAACGGACATAAATACATCTGTCACTGATAATGATTGCGGTCAAGGCCAGGAGTCTTGTGAATCTCTCTGTCGTATAAATAACTGTTCATATTCAACAGAACACTTTATCTTCATCAACACAAGGAGTGACAGTTAGATCTCGTTCGGGATCATCTTTGGGTTTTTTGTGGGTATTGAAAGTATGTATGACCTATCAGGGTGTCTACGGGGTGGATGTTTGGTGCTGCACTCAGCAATACTACAGGTATATGACGGCAGCGAGTAATTAGTCGAGTCTGGAACAGACAATCCACTGATTGATCGTCAACAACGATTCATGCCGTCGGGGTAAGAGGACACGTGATGAGCCTGGCCACCCAATCAACAATGCCGCCCCTAACGACCAGCAGAGGTTGCTGGGACATGCCGTCAACGATCTCACCGAGCCCGGGCACCCAATCCACAATACCGCCTCTTACGACAAGCAGAGGTTGCTGGAGGTGAGGTGAGGTGAAATTGGGCTTAACGTCGTGCTTGAGAATATTTCGCTCATATGACGACGTGCATGTGTGTGTATGTGTATGTGCGGCTGCTTGTACTAGCCCAGACTGAAGCTGGTTTTATAGTGCTAGCTCACTGAGATACCATGCCGCAGTGAAGCATGAAGATCCCACTCAGACACATTATACTGACTCCGAGCCGACCAGTCCTTGTTGTACCCATTAATGCCGAGCGCCAGGCAGGGACCAACAAGTACCATATTTTAACGTCTTTTGGTATGAAGCGACCGGGGATCGAACCCGCGACCTTCCGCTCTCTGGGCGGACGCTCTAACCACTACACCACGGAGGCGGTCAGAGGTTGCTGGAACATGCCGTCAACGATCTCACCGAACCTGACCACCCAATCCACAATGCCACCCCTAACGAAATGAACAGATTGCTGGAGACACAGTTTAACCCGCCGGTATCGTCTCACAGTCCCCTAAACTATAGTACATTCCGTTCCACCCAACCCTAACTGTAGTAGCAAGTCTGGATGTTCCTCGGGTCCAGGTAATGAATCTCCCACATCACGGCGGCTGTTTTTCCAATGTAAATGGAGTTCTGTTTCAGTAAATATTATACATACTGAGAGACTTAGTGCAAGTCTAATCTACCCTGGCGTAATATAGCCATGCATATATCACCGGGTCGCCATATATCAGGCATATATCACCGGGTAGCCATATATCAGGCATATATCACCGGGTAGCCATATATCAAGCATATATCACCGGGTCGCCATATATCCGACACATAGCACCGGGTCGCCATATATCAGACATATATCACCGGTAGCCATATATCAAGCATATATCACCGGGTCGCCATATATCAAGCATATATCACCGGGTCGCCATATATCCGACACACAGCACCGGGTCGCCATATATCAGACATATAACACCGGGTCGCGTATATCAAGCATATATCACCGTGTCGCCATATATCAAGCATATATCACCGGGTCGCCATATATCAAGCATATATCACCGGGTCGCCATATATCCGACACATAGCACCGGGTCGCTATATATCAGACATATATCACCGGGTCGCTATATATCAGACATATATCACGGGGTCGCTATATATCAGACATATATCACCGGGTCGCCATATATCCGACACATAGCACCGGGTCGCTATATATCAGACATATATCACCGAGCAGTTTCATCTGCATCCTGAAAAGTCTCACAGTCCCTAAACTACATCATTTTCCCTACAGCCTCGTCCACTTGCAGTGCTAAAGCCCTAAATGAAGCAAGTCTAGATTTCCTCAGGTTTTGAACCTCTCATGTCACTGGGGCTCCTTTTCAATTTAAATAGGATTATTTCTTACTATCAAAATTATATGTATTCAGAGGCTAAGCGTTAGTTTAGCGTCATTATACTACTCCAGTTTATGAAAATATAGCCGGGCGGTTCTTATTTTCAGAGGGTATATTTTATGAAACATTTCAGTTCTCATCTCGTTTTCATCTCCCTTCTTAAGACCTTCCCGGGTTCCTGCTCCACATCAACATATCGCCCCTACATTCCTTCAGACGACGCAAGTCGCTTCATGTGCTTTCGGATTTCTTCACTTCCTGAAATACACATATACAGAATCCAGCCTCGCTTCATGCACGTGAGTCACATCCGTCCACAGAAAAATGTGGATGACAACTAAATTTTTAATTTACTGGAGTTCTATAGTATTATGATATTATAACGTAATTTAAACTTCAGCCTCTATGATCTGAGACAATCATAAATAACTCTGTGAGTGTGTGTGTGTGTGTGTGTGCGTGTGCGCGCGCGCGTGTGCGTGCGTGCGCGCGTGTGTGGGTCTGTCTGTCGTAGGTGTCTGTCTGTAGACTCGTGCGCTTGTGTGTGTGTGTGTGTGTGTGAGAGAGAGAGTGTGTATGTGTATGTGTGCGTGCGTGTTGGTGTGTGAAGGTGTATGCGTTTTGTGTTTGTGCATACGGTTCGGCCTGCGTGTGTGTATGTGTGGGTGTGATTTTATTACTAATGTTTTATACAACTGTGACATTTGTGTCTCATAGGCCTTATGGCCGGATGCTGCTTTTAAATTCATGCAATAATGTACCGTCTTTTTTAATGTTCTGCAGCATGTGACACAATAAACTATATTTCTTCTTCTTCACTATAAACGAGGCGCTATTTGTTAAGGAGATTATATATATCACAGGAGCTATTTAATCAAGAATAATGCATGGTTACACAATTCGACAGTTGAAATAAAACTCGCGGGTTATTTACATACGAGTGTAATTGAAATGGCGGGTTGGAAAAAGCATATACTTATGTTAATGGGGACTAAAATGAATCAGACAACAACTTGTTTACCTACGGGGCAATATCTGCTATAATCCTCATCACTATCACATATATACTGTCGAGGCCCAGTAGGTCTGATATAATAAGGGGTCAGCGCGTACACGCGGTACCTGCATGTTGGTCCGACCAGATAGACAAATACCACAAAGGTATAATGGTAGGTATTAGAACTAAAAAAATATGTTTTATCACATCAGTTAAGATGTTACTAATGTTTTACCATGCACATCTTAAATGCGTGAGTAACACACACACACCCTGTCTCTCTCCCAAACACACGGGTGGACAGGCTCGCTGACTTGGTTGACACATGTCATCGGCTCCCAATTGCGCAGATCGATGCTCATGCTGTTGATCACGGGATTGTCTGGTCCAGACTCGATTATTTACAGACCGCCGCCATATAGCTGGAATATTGCTGAGTGCGGTGTAAAACTCAACTCACTCACTCACGCAAACACACTCGCACGCAAACACACACACATCTGTATATATGGCGAAACCCACCCCTCGGGGTCGCTTACACAATTACACAATGTAACCATATTAAGGAATATGAATTTTAAATTTTTCAACCTAGACATGCATGTTCGTTTCACTTAAAAAACAATAAAGCATTATCACAATATCGTGTTTTGGAGTTCCAAATCTACGACCACTGATTCGTTATACACAAGCATTCTTAATTATCTATTTTATGTTATTATTACACGACAAAGAAGTATATGGACAATATTCAGATAATATTATTGGTTAATATTCGCTTCCAGATTACATGAATTTGTTGACAAATACACGGTGGTTAAAGTTCAAAATTAAATTACTACAGTTTAATCTACAAGCATGAAGTTTTCTTTTGTGTTCCTGATTCAGTTGATAAGATATTTACAAATATAAAAAGACAGCCCTATTCTCGTATTCAATTTAATCCTTTGTAAAACAAGATAACTATGCTGAGTCCACTTTTCAAGTTTTATGAATAATAAAACTGAATCGGTTAAGGTGATGCAAAATGAATTACCTAGAACAAAGAAAACCAAAAGATTCAGCAAAGCATTTCAAAATCAATAACCTCAATCAATTATTCAAAATTGTAAAAATCGACCCGACCCATCTTCTCGGTACCTCGGGAAATAAACGTGATAATCACCGGTTGTTTCACGCACAATGATCTCGTGCAATACGGACGGTGGTAATTTATCTTGTCCTCACGTGCGCAGCGGGTGCAATAAACACTGTTGTATATTCGGGTCACTTGCTATTTACCCGTAGTACACACTTACTATGAAGCACGTAGGTCGCTAGCCTCATTCATGAGCCGCCCATTCAGCCGAGCGTAGTGATTCATTGTTACGTATTTACGTAAAGATGCTTTAAACACAAAGTTTTCACATTTAGGAAAATAACACTGTTAATTCACGCCCCCGTTCGACGTTATGTCAAATGAGAGAGACATATGACTGACAGGTTAAGTCGTTTCAATTCGATCACGCAAAATTCCTTATTTGGAAACAGGCAAAGCCCCCTGCAGTGTCATTCTCGGGAATTGGTCAGTTCTCTTAACCTCGGCCCGCCCCCAGCTAATTGCCAACACCTTTGCGATGACAGTTTGATTAGGTCACTCAAAGGTGTTTTCTTTAATCAACTACTGAACCGTAGCGGCCCTATTTATTGACTAATTTGCCTAACCTTAGTCTCATTTCGCTGAAACTCAGGGTTGGTGAACGTCCCAAATGGGAGAGCTCTCATGACGTCAGCTGTACAAGTGACCTTGTTCGTATCCGCTCTATATAGTCCGTTTAACTCACATGTTTAATTTCCGCAAAGCGTTTGCATAAATTACTGTGACAAACGACTATTACTCATCACGTTCTATCAATTGTTCAGAATTGCAATAGCTCCACTGAGAGGAAAGTGAGCGTTCGTTTTCTCCCGGACTATTTTCGACCTCGGATGCTCGTACCTGTTACACTAGTAGTGATGCGGTGTGGGTAAACTCAATTTCGTGCTCACTCCAATGGTGACTCGACTCACCTCATTTCTTGCCAGGAAAACTTCGGGATTTACTGCTATTATTTTCGTGAAAGGGGAGGAAGTCTTGACTGGGAGCATTAATCAGACTCTGTTTTGTGTGATTTGAGTGAAATTTTCACCCAAAATGTCGCTCGAAAGGACAGAACGTAAAGGTTCTCAGGTAGTGCATGTGCGGGACGGAAGCGATCAAGCATTCGAGGAATTGTTCAAAGTTGTGATAAACCCTCCAGAAGATCCCACAAAACCATCGCCAGTCCCTCTTCGGATGAGAAACTTGCCCGCTTCTTTCTTCAAACAACCAGATAGTCAGAAGAATATTGTCGATGGAGACATTTCAGGGTACCCGTCCCCTCCGAACTCAGTCGCAGGAATGGCTGTAGCTCACAGTCGGGCCCATTCCTCCCCTGCAAGTTTGCAGCAGACGCTTAGCGCGGCTCCACCTCTACCCCCTCAACACATGCGACAGCACAGTTACGACCTAGTGACAGAAGATCAACCCCTACCCCCTGGCTGGGACATTGCTAAAACATCGATCGGACAAAGGTACTTTTTGAAGTAAGTCGGCGAAAGTTGGTAACTCGGGGCTCGGCGAATTTTGGCCGCCATGTTGGATTTGGTTGTGCACATTATTGTGAAGTTGACAGGTGATGTTGAGAAATGTTCCCTGTTAGGTCGGTTATGGGATAACAGTTTGTTTTTGTCTTCAATAACTGATTCCTTTTTCGGTAATTTGTGGATGAATGGGTGTCGTAGATATGTCGTATAGGTCCTTTTTTAAAAGTTGTTTACTTTGTGTCAGAAGTTTGTTTATTCAACTGTCATTCAACCGATTTAAGTTTACAATGCTCTGGTATGACTATTTTAGTGTAATCCAAGTGGTAATTATGTTCGACATTGTTTCGACTTTGAAGCTACGATGTTGTTGATAAATTACTTCATAGAAAGTTTTATGGATTTCCAATCACCAGGTATATATCATAATATCACAGTATATCAAGAGTTAAAAGTTGTGAAGTTTTGAAGTAAGACTAGAGTGTTTTCAAGCCACTCCCTAGTCAAGCACAATAAGCAGCAATAGTGTGTGATTAATCGGTTACGATATGAGGATGCAAATAAGGTACTTATGTTTGTAAATGTACGGACATGACGAGATCAACAGTTGTGATACAGCTGGTACATCCTGCTGTATTTCCTAGTCAGTTAGCTACACACTTCATGATGAGGAAATATCATAATCTGGTTTTTGGTGTCGTACATTATTTTGTACTTTCATAAATGATAGTCACATATACCAATTATTGATGTTATGGATATGACCCACTTTAGGTCATTATTTAGAATAATGTAACTTTGGGACATTATGTGCTATTATAACTTGACATGCTTGATCATGAGGCAATAACAGTTACTGTTGAAATAGCAAGTAATTTGATCAAAATGTTGCACAATTTGTATATGTTTTCAAAACTTGAAAGAAGCTGTTATTTAGTATACAAATATTGAATAAAAGTGTTATTTCATGGGGGGAGATCACAGAAGTGTGAACATTGTATACATCAACTTAGTTGACAACCATGTGATATTGTCCATTATGTTGCATTAGCATCCTCAGTAGGGAAAACTGGGAATTTTGTCAGGTTGTATTGGGTCACACTTGCCTCTAGCCTGAGTCCAGAATCTGTATGAACCAGAAATACTTATGAATAATTGAAAAAAGCTGCAGTTAACACTCAACGAAGCGATTGATTGCGAATAAGATCAATAAAGGACATGTGTGTGACCGACACATTCTTTTTAAAAAGGTTAGAAATGTTATTCAATGTGGCATACAGTCTAAAGATATCATTTTATGTGTAATATTGATAATTCTCAGTGTTTTATCAGCCTTTTTTCAAAATGTTTAGATAAATTTTCAACATGTCCTGAAAAAAATATTTAAAAATTCAAGTTCCAAACTAACGATAGTGTGATAGTATATACTCATAAATACTTGAAGCGAAAGTCAAGACAGATATTTACCAAACTTATCTCTTCATTGTTGGTCAGTGGTGAATGTGGGTTACAAGTGCTCCCCAGCAGCCTATGCTGGTTGTAAGAGGAGACCAAGTGTATTGGGTGGTCAGGGATAGTGACTAGTCGATTGCACATCACGATTGTCTGATGTTGCTTGCAGTATCAACCACCAGGTTGGCCATCATGTTACCTGGAATTTTTCTAAAGGTGGGTGAGAGGCGACTAACGAGATCGGGTGGTCAGGCTCGGTGACTTATCGGTCCCCAATTGCGCAGATCGATGCTCATACTGTTGATCACTGTATTGTATGGTATAGACTCGGATTATTTACAGACCGCTGCCATATAGCTGGAATATTGTTGATTGCGGCGAAAAACTAAACTCACTCACTCTAAAGGTGCCGTTTAAAAAGAAACAAAATATTTTCAGCCGCCACATCAGTTTGTTAATGGTAGTCGATTTGTCCTTCAAACAACTTTAAATTACATCACTTGCTTGTTAGAGGAAAATTCGGGAGTTTCAAATAATCTCCTACCGTCTGTCAATTTAATAATAACTCCTGAAAGAAATTTGGAGTAACTGTAAAGCTGGAGTAGGTTGGAATAAGTCACAATTATTGTAGTCAGCTTTTTATTCTTGGTAAAAATAGCCATGTGGAGATATTTTAGCTGAAGTTTGATATGACGTCAATAGCACATGGTAAATATGGATCCTTATTACATTGGTGGGTAATAATGACAATGGGCTATTGAGGAAGTGTTGGATGATTGTCCCGATTGTTTTACTGCTTGATGAGTGGAAGTCGACTGTTGAGAACTTCCTGTGGGGGCAGGGAATCGTAGGACGTGTTCGCTGATTTCGATTTCGAAAAGTGGAAATAGTTGGTCCAAGGGTTGTTTCTGGTCAGTCGGATGGTTTTATCTGTGTCACTATGTGTGGGATGATGCTGTTTGATCATCGTGTACATGAGGCCGTATCAAAAGCAGAACACAGTGGTCTTTATAAAAGCGGGGCTGAGCTAAAGTCTGGGGATTTACCTTGGTTTCAGGGGCCCCCACAAGAAGTGTCCTGTAAAGTAATGACATGCTGTAGTGAACTGAATTTATCAGGTTCTCCCCATTTCTTCTGAAGAATATGGCGTAATGAATGTTAATGTGTATCTCCACTGTGTTCCATTCTATGCATTTGTTTGTGCTTAAGTCAAACCAAGTCTTTTCATTTTCCTCTGGCTCTTTCGTGATGTTTACTGGTTAAAACTTATTATTAGAATCAGTTAGGACGTTCACAATGTGTGAAATAGATGTCTATATGTTTTCAACAAGTACACAACTTCCACGATCTTGTAGAACTTGTAATCCTGGTAATTTCTGGGTCATTTGAATAATATATTTTCTGTTGTTTTTTTCTGCAGAAGTTCGTAGCAATACTGAATTGAATCACAGCATATCTATAATTGTAATGATACAAATTTTATTAAACCCCACAAGAAACAGTGTTACTGAAAAAAAACTAAATAGTGAAATCCAATTATGAAATCATTTCAATGTTCAGCAACTACTCACAACTTCTTTCAGATTTATCTTTATGATTGCAAAGTTCATAACTTAGAATCCTAACATAAAATAGAGAAGTCAGGAAAATTTGATACAGTTTAGGTGCAGTCTGTTGAAGCTGTTCACTACACCCCTTGCAACATGTGTTTAGATCTCAAACATTGTGTTACCATGGAAACCACAGTGCAAATCTTGGGATTTTGTAATGGAAGGAAGAAGCCAGGCCAGGGTAACCTTATCAGCTCTGTTGGTGAATAATTTATACCCGCGATAAAAACACACATATTCTGTCAGGAGAAGGACTTTCTTTGTCATTGAATTGAGAAGTTTAACTTTACAGAGGGATTATACTATCTCAAAAACAATTTTCAAATTTGCTTCCAAGGCCCGTTTGTCCTGTCGACTTCATGTGAGACAGAAGATGAGGGGTGGTGTCGAGGACCTGAGGATATATTTGGTTTTTGAAACTCAATCCGTGAAATGCTCCAGCTTATCAAAGGAATGAATCATTTATATGCTCATCTTGTCTTTGATTGGCTGGCTTTTCTTGCCCCACTGGCACCATCCATTATTAATGTTCAATAAGAATATACAGTAGGCTTCCATCAGGGAGAACGATACGACTAATATCGCATCGCTAACAACCATGTTATGTTTTCATTCAGGTTCATGTGCAACTTTCATCCCCTTATTCCCAATGAACATAATTCTAGTCTCAGATTTATAATACTGACAAATCTTATATAATCTGAAAAGGAAAATGTCTATTTTCATGACAGTAAATGTGGCATGTTGATAAAAAGCAATTTTTGCAGTTAACATTCACAGTTTTATGATTTAATGTGAGCTTTGAAATATCTTTATTTTTTAAAAAGATATTTTAAAAGATACAGATATTATATGTGTGTGGATACTTGTCAATAAAACAGATATCTTACGAGTGAGTAAGGATTAAACTTGGCCTGGGACTGACATTCTGTTTCTAGTTGTTCGATCAGAAATTCCCATAGTCTAAGCTCACGGTTTACTGTTACTCTGAAAGTAGTTCCAGCTGCCCATGAATACATTGAGCTGTTATTTGCAGTGCAGGCCATTGCACTCGATAGTTGCCACTCCCAGGTGGGAAAAAATTAATCCTTTTTGATCTTCTTTCACCTTTGTTTCTGGGATGCAATTTCAGTAACCTTGACAAGAAGAGGGTTGTCCCCCCAACATAAACTGTCTATGCTTGTTTGTGTACCCCCCTGTAAACAGTCAATTAGGACAGCCCTGGGGGATCACTGTTATGGGGTGGGGTTGAACTGTTGGGGGTCAGGTCTGCCCTCAGGGGTGAGGCTTGAGTGTTGTGGGTAATTAACAGCAGGTGTGAGTTAGTGCATGATCAAGTAGGCGGGGTGGGACAACAGATAAGAAGAAAACAGTAATAATTTTTAACACATTCTGTAACCATGGTAACAATCAAAATTTAAGTTGTAAATTTTGTATAGAAGTTTGTCTTTGGACTAAATACATAATAAAACAATCAGATTTTTTTTCGATATGAAAAATGAAGGTGTTACATTTAAAGTCAATTTCTTAATACGTCAGCAACACTGATACTTCACTAACCATCCTGAAGTTATATTTCATAGTTTTTCCCCTTATTGGTTGTTTTGCTTGGTTGATGCCAGTCTTCAAGGGGTTTATGATGTTTGTGTGTATGCGAATATAGGTCACAATAATGTCTACCTGTGTTTACCAGCGTTTACCTGCGGTTATTGACTCCCCACTTGACCCAGTATAACGCCACAGGGTAACTTCTGCCATCTACAGCTTGGGGTTTATTAATAGACCAGTCAATTTGTAACTCTTTCCTTTCCCCTTTGGGACATCATTTTACAATTTTTTAACAATAAGAGTTTGATGGGAGATATGAAAAAATGATGATTGATAAGTTTAAGTTGGGATTTGTGCAAAGAATATGTAAATAACATTTCCAAAATGTTAAAA